TCGTATTTCAGAAGGCGGGCCTTCATTTGATACAGGAACTATTCGAGCCGTTCATGCCAGACTGGGGAGAGAGGTAATGTAATATAATGTAAAATATGTGAAAAATAATGTGTTTTTCGAACAACCTAGTATGAGAGCCTGTTCTAGTACACCCCCAGAACAAAATCAAGACTTTGTAAAAGAGCATAATAGGACCCCTTTAAATAAATTAATAAATCCACTGCTCTCTTGTGTCCTCTGAGGATGGGACTGTAGTGTTCTGTGCTCGTCTGTGCAGCCAAAGGCAGAACAGTTAGCATGTTTTGCTCAAACTTTCGCCATGGCATTAGAACTGGTACACCGTTGTCGCTTGCAAAATCAATTGACGGCGCCGTGGGTGAAAACTTACAGATTAAGGGGTGGTAATATTATAATGAGATCCCCTTGCCACGTCACCAAGGGAGCGAAATCAGACGCGCTTGTTTTTTCAGACGCTTGCAGAAAAAGGCTTAACAAAACAAGTTACTGGGTTAATCTTTTTCACGTTTCCTTGGTTGGTAGATGCACCGGGGACCTGATTATAGCACTCAAAACCTGGAAAAGTCAGATTTTCATGATATGTCACCTTTAACATTATTAGAAATATGTACATATTTACAGATACTTGTTTGTACACAGAGTTCACAGTTTGGCCGTTCTTCTTTCCTTAATTTCTTTACTTTCAAACTATGATGTATATTATCTATTGTCACTTTTTATGGAATATCCCGCACAATGATATTCGAACTAAAATTAAACCTTAAGATTATACAAAGCACATAATCAGTACCTGAGATTATCATTGTCATTGGGTACATATTTATTTATTATTTTTTTTTTATTCTTGCCCCCAGCCGTGATGTTGCAGAAATATAATGTTTGGGTGTCAAATATTGTTGTCGCAGCTGGTTAAGACATGGTGTAAACCGACACAGACACACCTGTAAAATCTGGGGATTCATAGTGTTTCTGCTAGTGTTCTTAATTTCTATGTTGCAGTCACTGAAGAAACTGAATCATGCTAATGTGGTGAAGTTAAAGGAGGTGATACGAGAGAATGATCACTTGTACTTTGTCTTTGAATACATGAAAGAAAACCTCTACCAGCTCATGAAAGACAGGTATGAAGAGATTCTATATTCCATCTGCTATTTCCTATTATTAAGTCCCCATGATGCCTTTGATATACAAATGAAAGGAATATTTCACCCAAAAATGAAAATTCTGTCAACATTTACTCATCCTCAAGTTGTTCCAAATCTATAGTTTCTTTTTTTCTGTTGAATATAAAAAGGTTATTTTGAAGAATGTGGGTAACCAAGCAGTTGCAGGCCCTCATTGAATTCCATATTATGGAAAACAATACTATAGAAGTCAATGGAGACCAGAAACTGTTTGATTAACCACAAGAAAGAAACTCATACAAGTTTGGAACAACTTGATGGTAAGTAATTTTTTTGTTTGGCCATTTCCAACTATCCCTTGAAGTTAAACTCAACCTTGGTCAAAACATTTTGAAATGGTTGTCACTGTGCTTGATGAACGGCACTTTTTGACAGCTGTGCTGATTCTCTGTCTCCAGAACCAAATTGTTCCCAGAGTCAGTCGTCAGGAATATAAGCTTTCAGATATTGCAGGGACTGTCATTTATTCATAAGCATGGTAGGTCACAGGGCCGTCATATTTGTGTCCAACAAACTAGAACAACTGAGTCTTGAGTCCTGTATCAGATGTCTGAGGACCTACTACAGACTGAATCTTGGGACTGTTTCTGCTGAAGACTCAGTTGTTCTTGTATCTATGTGGTGACAGGATGTGTGAGTATCTCCGCTGCTGCCAAAATGTTAAACTAAATCCCATAAAATCTGAAATGCCCATGTCTTCCCTTCAGACCCATTGTATTATAAGCAGTTAAAGGGGTCACATCATGTTTATTAAAATATTTTTCCCCTCTGAAGTTCACTGATAATGTTAGTGCCTTCGAGCCTTCCATGTCAGTGCTTTATGGTAGCCAAAATGGATTGGGATCTTATTAAAAATAAATTGAAGTTACTCCTATCTAAAGGCTAATTCACGTTACACCAACAAATGCTGATCAACGGCAATGGGCACTTTTGTCAGGATTTGTCGGATACCCCTGTTGGCATCTGTTGCTGGTCAGCACTTGTTTTCGCTGAACATGTTCATTCACGTGATTCGCCATTCATTTGGGTCATGGAATGTCTGAGAAGTGACATACTTTAATCTGGTGATATTTGCCGTTGGTCGGTGCTGTTGGTGGAGTGTGAATTAGCCTTACTGTTGATAATTATCAGAAAGATATGAGAAGCAGGTGCTACTCACATCCAGAGACAACCTTTTGACAGATTTTATCTCATTTTACATAATGTTTTTGAATTTATTTATTTATTTTTGTTCTGGTACAAACAAATACAAAAATTAAGAAAACAATATTAGAATATTAATAGTATCCAAAATATTAAATGTCATGGGTGTATATTTACCAAGTAATCCACTATTACAAAATTATAATTTTTACCTGAGATTTGAAACCAAATTACTCCGTAAAATATATATGATGATGTATTATAATGTTTTAGCTTTTGTTACCATTTCTGTTTTTTGTTTTTTTTTAAGAAAAAAAAAAATGTACAAAATCAAAAATGGTTGATTTGACACGTAATACCCCAAAGGTTTTTTTCTTTCTTTTTTTTTGTACTGAAGATGGTGTTTTGAGTTCTGCAAGTTGGAGTATGTTTTCATGGTACAATGACCTCTTAAAATAAATATAGTTTATTTTTCCATGATGTGATCCCTTCAAAGAAGCTAATGCTTCTTCAGCGGTAGCTTTCTTAACTTAAAGCACCTTATTAATAGCTGTAATCAAACAGAAAAGCACGGAGTCTCACACATCTTGTGGGTGAAATACTTGCAGGGCTGTTCTTTTCTTATCCTTCGTCTCTGTTTCTCTTTTCTTTTCTCTTCTGTGTCTCTTTTGTGTGTGAAATTCTCTGACATCAGGGAAAATAAGATGTTTTCTGAGAATGAAATAAGGAACATCATGTTTCAAGTTCTCTCTGGTTTGGCATTTGTGCACAAGCATGGTAAGATTTTCTTATACTTTCATTTGTTCTTCTCTAATGCGCTAAAGATCTTCATAACACTGTTATGAACTTTATTTAGTCCCCAATTACATTTATAATAGTGATATGTGACATGTTTATCAAAGTTATTTTACATCCACAGTCAAGGAGGGAAATTAGCCTTATTGTCCACCAGACAAGGTGGCTTATGAAAGCCCATTTTAAAATAAAAATTAATTAATTAATAAAAAAAAAAATGTATGTATATATATATATATATATATATTATTTAAGAAACTAGTCAAACGCATTCATGGTGTGTTCAAAATTAGTCCCCCTCGCTGAAAAATTTGACCCAAAAGATATGAAAATATTTTTTGTAAGAACATAAAATTACCTGGATTGGACTGATAACAGGTGTTAATTTTGTGTACACAATCCAAGTATCAATGTTTTTTTTTTTTGTGAAAATGTGCAATTTCACAACCTGACAAACACACAGAAAAATAAACCAGCAAAATTAAAAATATTCTACTACTGTGGAGCTAGGTAAATTGTGTATTGAGACATGGCCATAGTATTAGGGGAGGGCAGAGAGCATTGTGTAATTTTATAATACAAATCTACCCATTATCTTCTAGTAAAAGAAACACATATACATGCCAATAGTAGTAGTACCATTAATCACTTTTATCTGGTACCAATTCTTCTGACAGGTATATTATGTTTCAATCAAAAGTCATAAGTGGGATATATATATAAAATTAGTAAATTTTTACTATATATGATCAATTTTTACTATATATTATATATTGATCAGCTTTGATCATTTAAGAACAATGCGTGAATGTGCTAGTGTCCAACTGGTCATGGTTTTCCCTACTGGCTGAAATATGAGCATTTCAAAGTTCTGTCTTATGTGCTTGTGTCCAGGTATCGAGCTCCAGAGGTGTTATTGAGGTCACCAGTGTATAGCTCACCAATAGACATCTGGGCAGTAGGCTGCATCATGGCTGAACTCTACACGCTTCGACCTCTGTTTCCTGGCAACAGTGAGGTGGATGAGATCTTCAAGATCTGCCAGGTTCTTGGTACAGTAAAGAAGGTATGATCAAATGTGAAGATGAAAAAACTTTATCAGGAAATTTGGAGTGGTCAAGAGACTCAAGTGATCAACAGCCCAAGGTAGACTGGAAAAAATTAGTTGGTGAGGCATAAGATTTTGGGCCTGTAGAAACTGGCTTGTAGAGCTTTGAAACACCAACAAGGTCATGATACAGGTACATTTTGAATGCATTTTTCTAGGTTAATTAGTAACAGTAATATAAACAGTAATGTTTATTGTGCATTGAATAGTGTTAAAACAATTGTGATTAACTGAATAAAAAAAAAACTACTTGAATTAGCTTTTCCTTCTGCTTTTAAGGTTACTGCCACAATTACTATAGTTTCAAATATTCTCAAATGCTGAAGTGTGACATAAGGCTTAATGACTAAACAATACTTAAAACGTATACCAAAAAAGCATGAACTGTAACAAAACTGAAGCATAACTTACTTTTCTCAAACAATACACATTTTAATTCCTAATATAACATTTTGGTTTCAAGTGTGGGAATGTGCACCAAACAAATTCAGTTCATCACATTATGTTGAAATCAATTTACAAAACTAAGGCATTTTCAGATTTATTTATTTTTTTAACTGATGAACATGCTCAGGGTTAAGAGCTCTCCAGCAGTGGAGAACACCCTCTCTACTGCTACACTTGTACCAGGAATGCAGAGGGTACATCTTGACAAGTTTGATAGTAATGGGAAAACACTGCTCCTTTCACCAGATGAGTGGATCCCCTGTAAGAGGCTCTGTGTCTTTTTATTTCCTGACTTCATCCTCTGCCTGATTATACAGTGACAGCTGTGAATGTTGTCTTTTAGGAGGGGAAAATGCATCTCAAAATAAGTCCTCAAAAACAAAGGAGCCCACATATTTTTCTGGCAGGGTGGGGACAGATTTGTCAGATTCGCAACAGGATCCAGGATTTGACATTCTAATTAATAACTTTTACAGAACTCATGTAGCCCAATTTATGTAGACCACATTAATAAACTTATAAAATAGAATAACACATATACAATTATACATTCATTAGCATTATAATATAACTAGCTGATATAATTAATATTAACTAAGTTATTTATTTATAATTGAATGAAATCTGTGATGCCTCCATTGCCATTTTGGGTGTAGACCTCCTGTCTGTTCACCTCCTTCAAAAAGGGCAGTGCTTTAAAATACAGATCCAGTGCTAAGGCTATGGAGTCCCATGACTTAACTGAGCATGCAAAGGTGCAATAATAGAAACTGTGGAGGTCTTCTCCTCGGACATAATGTGAGTTGCAATTTTAAGTGGCTTCAATGCATTTATTACATCTTCAGCACAGGTTATTTCTGCCTCTGTTAATGCCCATGTATCTTTGGCATTTTTCTGCACCTCTGTTGAGAGTAATGCAATTGTGGGCTGTTGTTCTATGAATCACTCCAACATGTCATGCATGCTGTTCCACCTCGTGCAAACGTCGTTCATCAATTTATGCTCAAGGAGTCCAAGTACCTTTTGCTTGTCATGCAGGACATGGCACCCAATAGTACTTTTCCTAAAAAAATGTTGTGATGCTCCAAACTCTTGTGAGAATATGGGAAACTGTCAGTGCCTTCAGAGCCTGTTGAGTGGCTAGGTTTAAACAGCGTGCAAAGCATCTCACTGGAATTAATTTTCTATCTTTGCAGCTACCGACAGGTTAGAGCAGGGCTGTCCAAACTCGGTCCTGGAGGGACGGTGTCCTGCAGAGTTTAGCTCCAACCCTAATTAAACACACCTGAACCAGCTAATCAAGCTCTTACTAGGCATAGAAACTTCCAGTCAGGTGTGTTGAGGCAAGTTGGAGCTAAACTCTGCAGGACACTGGCCCTCCAGGACCGAGTTTGGACAGCCCTGGGTTAGAGGAATTATCAGTCACCATTACAGGATCTTTGTCTTCTATTCCCCATTCATGCATCACACCATTTAATAAATCTGCCATGATTGCTCCGGTGTGATTGTCAAACATTGCTCTAGTCTACAGAACATGCAAGACAAGTTCCCATTGTGGAGAGGCAGTGGCAGGTTACCGTAACTTATGACTGAATTGCTCTTGATGTCCAAGCATGACAGGAAATATAAACTCTGTTCACAGAATAGAGTGACAGCAGAATGTCTAGCTTAATTTCATCATACAACCAGGGAATTGCTGTTTCTGTTAAAAACTGACATATGGGTATTGTGTAGCACGCCTTACAGTCTTGAAGCAATTCATATTTTCAGCAACACTGTATGGCCATAAAATCCTGACATATGAAGATCGATACAGAAGCAGCTGTATCGATGCGTGCATTGTCAGGATTTCATCAATATATGATCAATATTCTGAATCTGAGCACATCTCTACTGAACTCCAGGCATCCTTCATACTGTATATGAGGGTGAGCTACATGTGACTTTAATAATGAATTGTCTTGATCAGTTTATGATGTGTTTGATTTGGTTCTTATCTGTTACAGTATTTAGTATCATGGGTAAAACGTGCTTGATAGTAAATGTTATTTTCCCCTGCAGTCAGACTGGCCGGAGGGTTATCAGCTTGCTGCTGCAATGAACTTCCGCTTCCCCCAATGTGTTCATACACCACTGAAAACTCTGATTCCCAACGCCACCAATGAGGCTGTAGACCTCATGAGAGATCTCCTCCAGTGGGACCCAAAGAAAAGACCCTCTGCTGCAAAGGTATATATAAATTGTAATTTATTTTTTGATAAAAATAAAGCTTTTGGTGTAGAATGAATTCTGTTTGAGGTCAGACATTTGTTCATTTGGTTTGGTGTGAAAGGTGTTCCCTTTCATATTTTCACTTCGACACCCTCTAGTTTGACGATTATCTGAAGACTGTATAGAATCATGCCAATTTATTGTCAGATACCACCCACTGAGGCATCACTTGACTGACACCCCATAAGGACATGCGTGCACAGACGATTTATCTTCACTATTCAAGTTATTCATCTGCCCGTAGTGGATTTTAAGAGTTTTCTCTTCATATTTAGAGGCTCACATCAAGTCGTCTATGCTGCTCAGATTGGATACAATGGCATTCGATTCATTTTTCCTGATCACTTGCTTAATTTGTCTCTGGTGAAGTCTGCATATGAGGATTTATTACCAAGTTCCGAAGCTTGCGAATAAATCTCTTTTGGAATTATTTTTGTGTTATCCAAGACCACATCTAACTGTGAGGAGTTTGTTGCCAGCCTTCACTTTGGGGGGCAAAGTTTAACAGTAGGGTGGAGTAGAACTCGAATAGGTTTGGTTCATCAGACCAATTGTGAAATAATAACCCTTTCGACACTTTGTTTTATTTCAATTCAGTTCATTTTTGACATCTTAAATATTCTTATAAAGACTATTAATGTTTGTGTAAGTAATTGTTTATAAACATCTTATTAGGCACTCAGATACCCCTACTTCCAAGTAGGACAAGTTCTGGGCCCCCTACCCATGACTCCTGATGTACAGAAGGCTCAGATAAAGATGACCCTGCCTAGTGAACCCAGATCAGAGCTGCAGTCTGTCTTAGAACCAGTGCTGCCATCACAGACTAAAGGCCAAAGCAGAAACTCCCATCAGCCACTGCAGCAGATTCCTCTGCCCCAGTCTCTTTCTCAGACAGACCCTCTCGCTCCATACACACAAAAGGTACAAAACCTCCTTCTCAAATTTAATGTTGTAATTACCTTTGAAAAACTTGAGATTCCCATTCCCATTTTTTTATGCCACGATATAGCGAAATCTTAAAATTTGTATTTTATTATTAACTTTATATTTCGTTTTACTGCATCTGTGGCACACTGTTGATTATCACAAACAGTGATTTCACCTTGTTTATCAGTTTGTAAATATGAACAGGGAATTATTTTACAGTAAATACAAATGTAGACAGGGCCTAAAACCAACATTTTGCCACACCTGTCAATTGCCATTGACTTAAGAAAAATTACCGGCCATAAATATAAAGTATTTAAATGTAATTTATTATGTTTAATGCATGTTGCATTTTCAAATGCACATTATAAGTGACTCAAACTCGCAGCACTTGCAGAGATGGAGCTTGTGTGAAGCAGCATTTAATGCAAACCGAGTTGCTCCAACACATATTTTTATAATTACAATGAATGTAGTCTTTGTGATTCGATAATCGTGCTAAACCATACAGTTATTTTTTCTTGGAACCCACTTGAGAATGCCATGAAGGGACATGGAAGACACAATCTTCCATACAGCCCTTTTCCACAGGAATTACTTCAGTAACACATAAACCATAACCAGAAGTCCATGCACCTATAAAAGTAGTTTTGATTTAAAAATATGAGCTTGCTACAAAGTAACGTGTCACAGTTGTAGTACATAAGCATAAAAACGTAAATGACCCAAAATATATAATAATAATTGTATAATGTGGTACAGTCTGTTAAATAAGCCCTGTTAAATAAGTTAAATAAATGTCCACTCAGCCATTTCTACCTTTCTTGACAAAATTAAATTGTGATAAATAAAAATGAAACTTAAAGATTACCTGTTACAGTTCTTTATTGAATTTGATTACCTAAATGAACATCAGCACAATGGTACTTTGTGTTCCTAACATGAGGTGGTCGGGGGTGAGAACAGTTTGATTGGGCTGAAGAACGGACGAAGAAGGTGGGGACAGACCAACATGAAACCCTCAGACAGCTGGGATGAGTCTGACTGTTCTGATTCCGCAGCATCCCTCTCTAAAAAACCCAGCAAAGGCCCAGAGGAGGAGAAAACTACTACACAGTATGATCACTACATTCAGAATTTAACATAAACAGTTTTGACACTTATTTAATTTATAGCACATTTCAATGAGCACACTATTCCGAAACCTAGTAAGCAGCCTTGCTGTCTAGTACTGACCTTCTAACAAAGCATCCAAAATGAAATTTAACCATTTGAATTGAAATGCTCTGCATGGCTCTGTTTGTTCATCAATTATGAAAGAAGTTAAATTCAGCAATAAGTAGTTAAACTGAAGACAGTAGTGTCGTTATTCAGCTTGAGTCAGTTCAATAACAGTCAGTGTTACATAATTTGTCAATTATGAACAAATTTGATTTAGCTCTAAAGTATTTTTAAAGAAGACAATAGTGTCATTATTCAGCTCAATTCCATTTGTTTTGTTCTCATCCGATAGTGTCAGTGCCATCAAATCTGTAATATTACTGAATATTAAGTGTCTTTTGAACCCCACTAAGCAAGCCAAAGGTGACGGTGGCAGGGAACCCAAACTCCATCATGTGACCGAAACAGAGGAAAAATTCTTGGGACCAGTTCTCCCATGGCCAAATTAACAAAAATGGTGTGGTTTAAGGAGGCTGCTAGATTGATGTTATTCAGTAAATTTAGCATCAGTCTCTTTCTGCTTAAAGATCAGCATACACCACACTGGCATTAGGGGAAAGGGAGAGTTGTAGTCTGAACATGAAGGTAAAGTTGCTATTTAGCTAGTAGTAGATGTCTGACTTATCGATGGCCATAAGCACAAAGAACATCCTTCTTGTTAAAAACTGTTTTGGTCCCAGCTCATTCTAGCATGATGTGTCCATAGCTGGCCATACGAATCTGTACTGAGGCCTCGTTTAGTCTAGAAAGCTGCTTAATGTTGCTGCATATCTTTTTAGCAGCCTTTTGTGTTGGGAGTGTGCCTAGTATCATGGCTGCTGACTAAGTTTGAGAACAGGGCTTTTGTGTTTCTCTATTGTACTTTCAGTTTCAATTATTCCTTTTGAGATTTCACGCTTTCATTTTTTTGTTATGAAAAACTTTGCAGGCCCAAGGACCAGAAACCCCTTTATACATTTAGCACTGTAACAAAATTACCAAATACCAGCAGACTGAACCAGCCAGACTCTAGTCACCAGAGCACCTCTTCAGCCAGACAACATTACCTGCGCCAGTCCAGATACCTGCCAGGTATCATTTCAGTTGCATTTAGTCACTTCATGTGTTTATTTGTTTTTTATTTATGAATTGCAGCGGTGCACAATACATCATATCATAAATAAGATAAATAAGAATGATTGTCAGTGCATATATCAAACTAGCTCACAATGCTGACAATTCCTGACATGGCTTTCCACACATTTTTTTTTTTAAGTAATATCCCTGCATGTACGCATATACAGATCACTTGGAATGGCTTGAGATGAGTATCTCACAGAACACCGATCACATGTTCAGATCTCATTGGCAGTTGCCACATTGCATCACTGCTTATTTGCATAAAGATTGTTCTGAACTTATTAAAAACAAATGGCTTCTAAATAGGGATGTAACGATTAACTGCGAGCTGGTTGAAAATCGATTCAAATATGTGACGATTCAAATCGGTTGAGATGCTAAACAAATCGCGATTCATTTAGGTGTAGGAGTTTATATGAATGTATGTCTGAGGGGAACTTACTGTCTTTAGAAAAGTTTAGATGGTATTTTTTCTTTTCATCTTGCCTCTGTATAATGCATATTAAAGTTCGTAAGTTCAGCGCTGCTTTGTTTACAGCCGAAACCAGGAAACACATCAAGCGCCACCTGCTGGCAGAGAGTGAATCTGCATCTCATGGATCCGTAGGACAAAGGATTCAGCTCGCCCCTCTCGGACACCAGCATGCACGTAAGATTTCGGTTTTACAATTCATCCTCAAATATTTTATTTTTGCCTGTCTTTGTTTGTTAGAACAGCATTATAGAATCATAATTTTTATGCTTTTCTTCATGCTGCATTCATGTTGGCTTGTCAGGGTTTCCGTGGGTCCTTAAAAAGTCTTAAATTTAGTTGCATCAAATTTAAGGCCATAAAACGTCTTAAATTTGGGGACGCCGGTAAGACTAGTATTGCGATATGGCTTAGTGTGACAATTAAACTTCAAAAGGCTATGATTTCATTGAATAAAAATGAGCGCTGCACGTTTCAAAAACAGCTGCTGTGCTACCCTACTGCTGTTCCCAGGGAAACCGCTGTATTTTTGCCATTCCAAAAGCGCCTCCTGCTGGCAGAAAATTAATGTGCATTTTTTTAATAAGCCTGTCTGCTTTTGTTCAGATAAATGTGAAAATCAACCCATGTTTTTTTATCCAGCAAACACGCAGAGTTGTAAATGTGAACTAGTGGATCGATAAGAAGATAATGCATTATGAAAAGTGTTAACAATTAAGACAGTATAATATATATTTATATGTTATTTAATTAATAGGCTATAATAATAGATTGATAATAATTGTTTAAATTAATATAGTAATTGATACTTTTGCCTGAATTTACTTAAAAAATATTTTAAAGGCTGAAATGTGAAGTTAATCATTTAAAAAATAGTTTTGTTTTTGTAAACAAAACCTTTATCTGAACTGTAAATCATGCTTTTTACAGTCATTTAAATTTTATTTGTGCAGGTCTTAAAGTCTTAAACATGAGCTTAAATATCCTGCACATACCCTGGTCTGGTAAAAACCATCAATTCATGTTTTTAGGTAGGCCTATATAATTGTCCGGACCTCGGCTGGTGAGGATGGTTCATTACTGGACCTCAAAACTGGTGGATCGATAAGAAGATAATGCATTATAAAAATCGAAACAGTAAAATTTATTTATATGTTATTTAATTAATATAATTTATTGATAATAATTGTTTAAATTAATATAATAATTAATACTTTTATTAAAAATGGTTTAAAGGCTGAAATGTGAAGTGTATCATTTTATAAAACTTTTTGTTTTTGTGAAAACTTGTATCTGAACTGTAAATCATGCCTTTTACAGCAATTTTACAGTTCAATATGTTACCATAGACATTGCCCTACCCTGCTCATATGGTATTAGTTTTATTTGTGCAGGTTTTAAAAAAAAGTCTTAGAAAAGACTCTTATACTGATACACTTATGTTGGCTTTGCAATACTGATATTAAATTTAAAGGTGAAGTGTGTAACTTTTGTAAATGTAAAATATTTTGTTTATTATCATTTGTATGTTCGTTTCCCTGACAAATGGAAACACAAAGGCACTATCAAAACGTTTCTCTGTTTGATTCAGCAGCCCAACCAACCAGAAAATTTCCAAAACAATGGTAGGAGGAGGCACATTATTATTTAAGATGAAAACAGCCTCCCCCCCATCGCCTCAAATAGTGCCGAGTTTGGGGTGGTATTATGTGTTTGTCTAGTTTGAAATCCACTTGGTGACTCTAGAGCCACAAAACCTACACACCTTTATACTTACTTTTATTCTTCCGAAATTTAAACTCCCCTTGTAAACTTTTTTTGTTTTTTGTTCTTGCTCTTTGTAAAAAGTATTCTACACATCTGTTGCTAGAGCTCTAAGATCTGCTGTTTCTTTCTACATTCATTCATTCATTCTGTCTCTGCTTGTCTCTCTCTCATCTTTATATCTGCTCTTAGTTGATCTCTCTGCCACTGCTGACTTAAAAACTGGCAAAGCTAAATCTTCAAAGTCCAAACCTTCCTCTACAGTTTCAGTCAGTGAGATCTCTGAAGGTAAAATCTCAGAACAATAGAAGTCTTAGTCAGCACTTCTTTCTAGGGTCCAAAATTAACGTTGTGACACCTTCCGGGTTCATTTTTATTAAAATTAATTTGTATCGTTTGTACGGTGGATTTACATAACTGTACATAACTCCCCTAGAGTAAAACAGTTGAGTTTTACCGTTTTCGAATCCATTCAGCCGATTGCACCCATGGTACGGCAGCAAAGTTCCTTGTTTATTACGCCGAAATGAGAGTATAGTTCCTAGCCATATCGGCCTAGAAAATCGCAACTTTTCATTTTGTGTCGGTCTTAGTACACGATGTAACTACAGAAGAGTCAAGTTTTAAGTAGGAAAAATATCGAAACTCTTTGGTCATTTTTGAGCAAGATGCTAACAGTCTAATCAGATTCAATGATCTATGCTAGGCTACAGCTAAAAGTGCTACCGCCAGACCCAGAGATCGGCTGAATGGATTCGAAAACGGTAAAACTCAACTGTTTAACTATAGGGGAGTTTGAAAATGAGCCAATTTTCAAAAATAGTGGAGTGTTCCTTTAAGACACATGGTGATTTTTTCCACCTCATATTACCATTTTGGTGGCCAATGCAAGGTCTTTGATTTTAATCACCTCTGCCAGACTATTGTTCATACATTGTGGGTCAAATGATGTTGCAGTTCCTAATTAAGTTACTGGCCAACTCTTTTGCCCCTTGCAAGTGTTAATTTTTGGACTCTTCATTACCATAATCCTCTCAGAAGTAGCTCTTAACTCTAGCTTTGCTGATTTTGCACAAGTGTGAAATGCTCTTTCTCTCTTATCAGATTATGAAGGATGGAAAAGGAGAGCAGACCGAACCCAACCTAAAGGAACAAGTTACTCGGCTCTGGGCAAAAACTCCACCAATCTCATGGCTCGTGCTCCACCGGTTCAGCCAGTGCATGGGCGGGTTGACTGGGCTGCAAAATATGGAAGCCATCGCTAATATATATGATGCGAGCTACAGCTTCTGTGAGAACTAAGGCCTGTTTCAACACTCGTGAATATTGTATAAACGTGTATCTTTTTGTTTCTAAGAGGAGCAGCTAGGATAGATCCACACCACTTAAGCCCAAGGCTGCTTAATTGTTCGATTAAAAACAAGAATCTGTGTACAATGGATTTTTACAAACCTAACAATTTGTTCATCTTTAAATGTCTTGTTCAGTTTATGCATCCAATGCCTGTAATCCTTATTTTCAATGGAATGGGTAGAGCTATATCTGATATATTGCATTTATTTTTTGTAACCCTTGACATTTTTTTATAGTATGCAGTTTTTAAATATATTCTTGTTTTCTTTTTTGTGTTACTGTGATTTATACTGCAAGGCAGTGTTATTTATATTTCCTTGTATGTTGAGTAGACTTGTGCCGGTATTCGGTAATGCAATATATCACGGTACATGAACAAAGACTTGTATTTTTTTTAACAAAGATTAATAACTTCTGTAGCAAATGTAGATATTGCTCATTGTGAATGTTAATGCATTAACTAAGGTTAACTAATGAGGTCTTATTGTAAAGTGATACCTATTGGTCTTCATAGTTCTTTTGCACTTTAATCTGTGTAAAACTTTTAACTTTATACATTTTTCTGTATTGCTTTATTGCATTTAAATGTTCAGTTATTTTTGTTATAAGAAAAAAGTTATTAAACCTGTTATACTGTATTATGACAGCACTTTTTTTAAAACTAAATTTCAATATCGTGATAATACTGTATACAGTGATAAAAGCATTAACAATTAATCGCAACATGAGAATTTGATACCGGCATATCCCTAATGTTGAGTAGCCCTTTTTTCATTTTTATTTTATTTATTTTATTTTTACCACATGAACATATGTAGATAGCAGTGATTGGGTTGGGCTGAACTCAAAATCAATAAATAGTGTTTTGTAAATGTTTTATATGCATTAAATGGGCATGTTTTTAACAGAAGTCTTTAATTCAGATATTCACCTGACAACTACATTTTTATTTTACATTTTATACAAAATGAGCTATAATGACATGTTGTTCAAAGAAAATTATATTTGAATGAAAGCAGACAGTGATTTCTGTTTGGGTATTATGATTGCTGAGGTTTCTGTAGCATTCTGGCTCCAAGTTTTGCCAGCATCAGGACACTGCAAGAAACATTTAAAGAGATAGTTCAGGCAAAAATTAAACTTCTTTCATCAGACTCTATAAAAAAGACAAATTTTGGTCTGTTCCTTAATCAAAGCTGTTGCATGACTTCAGAAGACTTTAAGTATGTATAGCAGATGAGGCACACTGACAACTTTTATGATAGTACTTGTGCTGTTTTTTGGAGCTTGACAGTCATGGTATTATGGAAAAGCTGCATGACAGTTCTTCTAAAGTTTTAACCCTTTTGTTTCATGGAAGCAAGCAAGTCATACAGGTTTGAAACAACAGGAGGGTGAGTAAATCATTTTTTGAGTGAACTTGCCCTTTAGATTTAAAGGCACAATATGTAATTTTCGCCGCTAGAGGGCGCGTATTCAAAATAAACAAAGGCGTAGTTTGATGACGCTGTGACTGAGTGTGGAATCATGGGAGTTGTCTTCATCCCCACAGTCGAAGCAATCCGACGGTACTCGGGCAGAAATCATGTTCATGGATGAGCTAATGATTTATTAACGTAGTAGAATGAAGCAGGGTGAGGCTGAAAGCCGTCAAAGCGAAACGAGGCCGCTGAACGAGCACGACACACGGCTCGAAAGCAGCGGAGCTTTTTCCGCTCTTTCCGGTCGTGCGTATGTGGGGAAAAAAAAGCAGCGCTGACACTGTTCTAGTGGTTTTTGGATATTTTAATAAAAAAATCTTACATATTGTGCCTTTAAGTTGATAACTGACTGCAGCCATGTGACTATTTCTGGTAAACAACACTAATGAGAGTAAATAAGAAAAAATATTTTAATAATGATAAATTGCATTTTAAGCTGCAACACATGCTGAAAAACGCACTTGCAGAAATATACTGGGGTGGTACAATGGTGGTACCATTGATTGAACGGTTGCTATATTCATACGTTCAATATTTATAAGGTACTGCAATGAATACCATGTCATAATTCATATGGGGGAAAAGAAAAAAAGTTGGTAATACTATGGTACTTTTTGTGTTATGAATAACATGCTAAGGTTTTTGGAGTAAGGGAGAGGCTGAAAGATTTAGGACAAAGTGGTCAGAAGGAACAGAATTTTAATATTTCTGTTTTTCTTCCCTTTACACTTTTGGCTGGAGTCTGCATGAGTATGTGACCCATTTGTCTTTTTTTATTAGTTGTTAATTAACTAAAATATTTTACTAACAGTCGAGAGCTCTATCATCCAAGAAAAAGGGAAACCCTGTATTAGACAATGAACTGTAATGTGTGTTAGTTACCTCGCTCCAGCGATGAGACCAGCTGGAATGATTTTGCGTGAGTTGTAGAATCTCTTTCCCATGATAGCAGCAAGTGTCCCAGATGCAGCTGAGAGGAAAAACATTGATGACACGTAGTGTTATATAAAACAAACACGCCAATACTGCCTCTAGATCACTTTTCGACTGCAAAAAAATATAATAATTGCACAATGCATGAAAAAATGCACACCTAAAGACACCCAAATATTTTTGGGATCTTGTGATGTCTGGTAAGCACCAAAACCAGCCAAACCACCAAAGAGCAGCCCTGCTGCCAGGGACGGGACACTGCCTGCAAGACAAAATAATTAAAACAAAATATACTAAAACACTGTCTTGATAAACTATATAAATTGTATAAAGTGTCATAAGGAATTCAGAGTACAGAACAAAGTGTTTTTAACATTTAGATGTTTATGTTATTATCCACTTTTTTTTTTTTTTTTTTTAACAACGACCTTAAGGCCTTTTTTTTTTAAAGATCATGCACAGTTTTCTGGTTCCAAGGTGTATGCCATTTTCACTGAACATAGAGGAACCAACCAAATTTGTGAGAAAAGAAAGGATTAAAGAACTTTGTTTTTGTTAAAAATGGCATAAAGTTGGTGCATGTGTGGTGTAAAATCTGATCAAGCTGGTGTTTAGCCGGTTATGCTGATCAATTTTTATCCAGTTTCCCAGTTTGACAAGTGCCAGCCAGTCATACCAGCCTGACAAGCAATGACCAGCAAAAAAGTGTGGGCTCTTAATCATGTAAACTCTATATAAATTATAATCTCTTGAGCTTTCTCATTACCTGCTTTGACATATCCTATGACTCCTCCAGATGCTACTAGTGCTGCATATCCATATCCAGCCCAGTCCACTGCCATCATCAACACCTCAACACACATGAACATGAACAGACAGTCTGAATGAAACTTACACAAACATACACATACTTGTATATGTGGTTTACGGGGACTCTCCAGAGGCGTAATGGTTTTTAGACTATATCGTACGAACTGTATTTTCTATCCCCTACCCTCACAGTGAACTAATGGCAAACACCGTTTAGTATGTTTGTGTGTCCTCATAAACAATGTTTACATTGTAATACCAATGCCATTATACACATTTTACATTAACAATAATACACATTGCGTCCTCATAAACCATATATTCAAAAACACAATGCACTGATGAACTCTAGCTCATCTCAGATCTGTGCATGACTGCGCATGATCTGCTGTCAGCTGTGAGTGCATTTTTTCTACTGACAGTCTAAAACTCCACTTATTTACCCATTTTTCCACTTCATTAACTGCTTTCTGCATACTACTTTCCACAAATACTAAATTTCTTCCCCTTTTCCACAAGGCACCATCATCCGCATATAAAGATTTACCAAATCCTTGTCCAATCATTGAAAATATGTCATTTATCATTATGTTAAATAAAACTGGGCTACACACACTTCCTTGTGGGGTCCCATTATCTGTTGAGTAAGTCCTAGAATAACTTGTTCCGACCCTTACTTGTATGGTCCTATTAATCAAAAAATCTATAATCCAATTGTACATTTTTCCTTTTATTCACATCTTGTCTAATTTAACTAAAAGTCCCTCTTTCCACAGCATATCATGCTGCGTAATCGTCCTCAAACGCCAATGAAAGCATACACACCTGACGTTGTGTCGCAATGTTTCTCAAGTTGACTTATGGGAAATGAAGTTTACCTCAACCCTTCTGAATTACCTATGTTGTTTCTCTCTGAATTTCACCAACAGTTTCATATGTATTTTCTATCCCCTACCCTCACAGTGAACTAATGGCAAACACCGTTTAGTATGTTTGTGTGTCCTCATAAACAATGTTTACATTGTAATACCAATGCCATTATACACATTTTACATTAACAATAATACACAATGCGTCCTCATAAACCATATATTCAAAAACACAATGCACTGATGAACTCTAGCTCATCTCAGATCTGTGCATGACTGCGCATGATCTGCTGTCAGCTGTGAGTGCAGACTGTTACTCGGTGTTACTCGAAACAGTCTATATTCTACATTCATTACACTATTGCAATACGAATATTAAGATTATTACCGCTGCCTGAGAATCTGTTTTGGCTGAAGTGAAGTTCTTGCCTGGTGGTGCTCGTGGTCGACTTGTTATGTGCTGCGTGAGCTTCTTCTTCTTCTTCTTTTGTGTTTAATTGCGGTTGGCAAACCAGCTTAAGGTGCATTTCCGCCACCTACTGTGATGGAGTGTGAGGCCTCGATGAACGAACATATTATATACTACTAATATAAAAAATAATAATAAAAAAAAATCTTCTAATCAAATCTGTATCTCTCAGATATTTTAGAAGAAAACCATAAACCCTTAGATGTTTCTGTGCATTCTGAAATATATTCATAACTGAAATGTCATTGATTTCCATATCTCTTAGTTTTTCAACAAGTTGCTTTCTTTGTCTATTATATGCCTCACAATGTAAGAGCACATGTTCAACTGTTTCTGTTATTCCACAGTAACTGCAGCTATCTGACTCACTTTTTCCTATTATATGCAATGAATAATTAAGGTTAGAGTGTCCTATACGGATCCTGGTTATAACAGTATCTTCTC